AATCGCGCTTTAGTCGCAGTCTCTAAAAAAAACGAACAAGGCAAAGAAATATAAAAACGAAAAAACAGAAATTTGCTGCATCTTACTGTTATAAACGGGGGAATAATATAAGCCGTTAAAATCAGCAAACATAAGCTCAATAGAGGTGTATTGATTGCCCCAACATATAGAATCGACCGACGCATTGTATCGAGCGATGCCAGCTGAGATTAAAAGAGTAAATTTTTCCAAAGAAATATTTTGAGACATAGATACGGAGTGGATTAAATTGTAAGACGGTGTCACTCGAAAATGATATTTGCCGCAATCAGGAATGATATTTTGGTTATTGTATGCTATAATACTTATTATACCAGGTGTTGAGACATACCAACCGACCAAACTTGTGCTATTGACCGTCTTACTCTAAAATTCAAATGTCATACAACACGAAGATCGATTACTTAGCGACACTCTTCACATGCTGTCATATAGCATAGAAAAGTTGGGTAAACTAAAATCTTTACATGAAAATTTTAATTTGCACAGAGAAATCCTTTTTTTGGTTAAAATTTACTGTATTTATGAGAGAAAAGTATTATAACTACACAAGTTTTCAATAAAGCTGACATCACGATCTAACCGAAGTCGGTTCTGTTTTTGAGTAAGTATTAAAATATTTCATTGAAAATTATAGCATGAAGGCTTTTTTTTAAAAAACTTATTTAATTCATGTTGTCTTCTTATCTCTCATTCAAAAAAATGTCCAAACCATTTGTTATCGATTCGACGCCATTTCTCAAGAGTACATCGATGACAGAAGCAATAAGCAAGGAAGAGATACAACCCTAACAACAACAAAATTAGCAGACTTCTCAAGGTTAATTTTCCTTGTCAAATGAAAAGTCGCTTTGTCGAACGAGGCGATGCTCAAAACTTCTGAGTTTTAGACAGGAGGCCACGATTCCTATAAGTGCTTTTCACAAAACGCAAAAAATTCTTTGGAATGCTTCTGATAGGCTACATATCATCCTATATTTTCATTTTTCTACTCTTCTGGACACTACTTTTTTATTGTGTAACAATATGAAAGAATCTGTACTTGTTGCTCGGCATCACCATTAACGATTAAATTGTTTGTTTGAATAGGTCCCCAGGTGTCATTTGGCAAAACAGCATTGTTTAGTGTCGAGTTTGCCAACTGCTCATTGGATATGATTGCTCTCGACAAGTTTGCGTTTGTAAAATCAGTAATTTGATATTTCAAAATTGTACCAGTAAAATTGCACTGGACTAAGGATGCTCCGAAGAAACTTGCTCTAAAAATTGTTGATTCAATGAAATTCGATTTATCTAATAAAGCAAATTTGAAGAGTATGTGATATAATCGGGTTTTGAAGAAAATTGTCTTATACATTGTTGAGTAAGAAAAATTTGAACGCTCAATGTAACAATTTTTAAATGATGCATTGGATAAATAAACATGAGGTAAGTATAGGTACGCAAATGAACAGCTAGTTTCAATTGTTCCTTGGAAATGAAGTTCATTAAAATCGGCATCACTGATTTCTAACAACGACGATATTCTCTTTTCTGGAGGACGATAAATCAATTCACTGTCATAAAGAAAAGAGAATAAATGTTTTTTTCGTTGCGAATCGAGTTGTCGAAGGCTGACCAATGTTTTAGCGCGAATTATCATTAAAATATTTTCTTTGTTATTCGACAACAACAGTTTCGAGACATCATCAAGATAGGTGGTGAATATATTCTCTTTCTGTAAATTTTCTGTTTGATGCTCCGACTGTTGTCTTATTAAAAGGGCTTCTTGTTTTTCTTGTTCACGTTGTAAAGTGGATAGTTTTTGTTGTTGAGTGGTATTGATAACGGTAAACACAGCAATCATCAAAGGAATCAATGCGGATAAGAAAAGTTTGAACCAATAACGATAATCAATTCTTTTCTGCATTTCACTTCTATATGAAGAAATTATGCTCCTACAAGTGTTGTTGCTCAACTAACGGGCACAATGCAATATATCAGCACTTACGATACTTTTTAGTTTTCTCTCTTTAGTAATTTGATAAATATGAAAAACGTAGAAAAAATAACTATATAAAAGGAAATACGTGTTTCTTTGTCACGAGTTATTGTATTTGATTGTGATAAAAGCGGGAAGTAAATTGAGAACTACGCACGTAGACAGGAAAAAAAGAAAAATCTGATCATCTGAAATTACATTTTCAACTCTTAAAAACGGAAGCTGCTAACGCAATCCGTATGGGATTATCTTGTGAAACATGATCTATCTGCTGTTACTAAGGACTGGAAAGCTGTTTTATTCCCTATACCAACGCAATCAGGGTTTCGGTGTGGGTGTGGAGTAGGCCTAGGATGTGGGGTGGCTCTGGGTGTGGGTCTTCATTCACCCACACCCACACCCACACCCTACATGTATTTTCAGAAATTTTTCTCTAAAAGAAACTTGATAAAAACAAAAAGTCAAAAACCTTTTATGATACTTAGATTATCTAGTTGGTTTCTTCATTGAATTAAATTTCGAGTGAATCTTTAAAATATGATTTCGATGCAAATTACATTTTCTTTAAGAACATCGTCATAGGTTTGACCTTTTTTCCTAGAAAAGGTCACAACGAACTAGAATTTTCCCATAATTCACAATTGATGGCTCGTTATCTTAATGGATAAAGTATTAAAACATGATCGAGATTTTCTTCGAGAAATTTTTTTCTAAACTCATTTTTAAAAAATCTGTTCAAAATTTATAAATCTATAGAGACTTTTTCTCGTTCATGAATTAATTCGGCTGTCAAGAGATTCTCATCAAAACAATACACTAGTCAATAAAAATGAAAAGCTTCAAATTTTTGTATTCATTCCAAATCAAACAATAGCTTTTTTCATATCACATTCGAATTCAAAATTTTTAAAAACGTAAAAGATTTTAATGATTGATCAAAAGCAATTTACTTTATAGATACTATTTAAAACTTCGACGATGAATTTTTTAAAGTCAACAGCGAACGTTGGGTAGACGCACATTTCGCTCAAAGAATGTTTTTTTTTTCGTATAAAAATAATTTAATTGAAACTAACGAGTCATCGCCTTGCAAAAAATGTTTACCGCACGCACTAAGAAAATTTTATTTTGTCTAATGAAATCATAATAGGATCTATCATTTTTTTGGAACTAATTATTATGAAGATGCTAACCAATAAGAAATTCATATGTTGTGTCACCTAATATTTTTCTGTCATACATATCTGTATGTAAATAGTTTCACTCGATAAGAGTAGAGAAATGTGTATGAGTGTCTATTGTTGTTCGAAACAGCCTTGAATTATCTGTGAGCGAAGAATTTTTGTTCTCAATCATATCGAATTTATTCTCATTTAATAGTTGACATATCCATTTTGAGTATTCTCTACCTTTACAAAGATACAGATAGTATTTGCAAATGTTTCACATGAACATTTGTTTTTATCTCATGTACTTATTCGTTGCTTGCTTCGTCAAGTCATAAGACCGGCGACGAATGAAAGGAAGAAAAATATTTAGTCGATACATACATTATTGTATCTTCGTGCTTTCTTATCACATGTTTCTTTTCTGATCATCAAGTCGTTTTATTTATCTATTTATACAGTCAATTTCTTCCTCTTGATTCTTACTCTACTAAACCTTAAAGACAATTTTTTCAATGAACTCGACAAAGAATTGATTACGTTGAATGAATAGGAGTTGCTTCGAATTTTCAAGTATTCAATTTGTCAAGTTGTTCATACGAGTTGATTCTCTTGCAGTGCGATACAGACACTCATTTTAATGCACCCTAACTAACGACATATTACTAATCACAAGAACATTTGCATGTCATAAAGTGGTCAGCGTAGAATCAAATCGATGATCTAAGGCAAGCAAATATTAGTGACTTTTTCAGAGTCATTTGATGACTATAGTAATATCGATGCTTAAACAAGTACCTTGCGAATTCTGTCGAGAATAAGGAAGTATATATAGGTGGGATCAGTTAAGTATAGAAATAATGATTTAGTATAAGCAGATAGGGCTCATACTATTGATGTAGCAGTTGATACAAAATTTTGGTAACAGTTCTAATTAAGGCTTGATGAAATATCTTCATGAGAGGTATTTTATACGCATCATGTACTTTAGCTTTTCAATAGCTATTTGATAAGAAATCTTTTTTTTTATAAACAAATCAGATACGTTTCGAGCTTTTATCTATGCGAAAAAATCTGCATAGGTTTCGTGAGGTATGTATTGAAAATGTCGAAGAAAAAATTACCAATCCGAGAAATGTTGAAAAATAAAACACCGAAAAAAAAGGTCGCAAGTATGAATATTGATTTCATTGTATCAAAAAGGTAGTGCTTTTATTTAACAAGGAATTTAGACGATGATATGTGCACATGAACTAGATGATTTTCTATTCAAAGAAACATCGAGATCAACATCACACACACATCCATCAGCCTCCACTTTAAGATTTTCGACAAGTCATATGACAAAAATGTGAAAATAAATCTCAATAACAAAAACTAAGTAGAACATAGATGGGTATACAAGGCTACAGTAATTCGGTTCTTAGACTGAATAGATGATTTAACTGTTTAGTGCTCTGCAATATTCATTCATTCAGTCATGTATTAGAGAAAAATGTTATCTGGTCAATAGAGCTTTAATGCACAATACAAGAAGAAAAAAATCAATATTGTTTCATAACGCCATGTTGAAATTGTTGCCATTATTTCTTTCGACGATTTTATATTCATTCTTTTGTGGAAACCAGTTTTCTTAGAGTACAGAACAATCCTGAATGTAGATAATTGTTGCTCAAGTTTATTTTGTCAAATAAAATATATTTCTTAATGCAAAACTCGTTTCTAAAATATTGTTGATTTTATAAATCCTACAAATATTCTGAAGACAGTCTGATTTTCTTGTATCGAAAATCATTTTCAACATCTAGAAATTATTAGGATCTGTCGTCATCTTGATCACTGCCTTCCTCAGCTGTACGTAACCATTCGATGAATTTTTTAGCGCAATTTCGTATTTTTGTTGCAACTGATCCATCAATAAGTTTTGTAGATTCCTAAACAATGATGGTTTATAATAATTAACAGAGAATTCATTGATTTTTATGCCTACCTGTTCATACCAGTGATAGAACACTTCTTCTGAAACAATGTCTTTTTGATAAAGTTCGTAAAACATTCTCGATATGCCTTCTGTGTTGAGTAATTTTTCTTGTACTTCTTCATTTTCATTGATTATCGCTTCAATTCCATCTAGAAGAGATCTCTGTCTTGCCGTATTTTTTGTACAGAACTATGAAATAGATTTTGTTTTAAATAAAAACAAATGCAAGATATGCATTAAACTGAAAACATACTGGATAAAGTAGCATTCTGTATACTCCAATTTCTTTAACAATTTGATCCGTAAATAAACATTTAGCAATATAAAATGGAGCTTTTTCTACTATACTCAATCGTTCAGCTTCAATTATCAATTCTTGAACTGAAACAGGATCGTTTAATTGATTAGCCAATTTCTTTCTCTGAACATATAACAAAATAATATTTAGTTTGAATGACTTTAAAATTAAACTAACTTTCAATAAACAACTGAACTGTTCATAAAGTTCATGAATTGTTTTATTGAAATCTTTCATTTGAGCCATACTATTACTGTCACTGTCTACTTCAGTGACAGATGGTGGCAAATCATCGTCCCCATCTGTATTTCCACCATAATCGACAATAAAGGAGTTATTCATCGAAATCTTCTAAACAATTAGCATGAAATTACATATATATTAATTTAATTGACTTGTTTGCTCCCCTTTCTCTCCAGTTAAAATACTTACATCCAAACCACGATTATCAGAATATCTGCTGTTTGGAAGCGTATTTTGTAACATGAACGTCACTAATTGGTGTGAGTCCTTTTGAATTGTATTTATATGACCACATGCCAAGCATCGTTGATAAATTTTATTGTTACTACTGTCGTTGAAGTTCTACAACATAGAAAAAAAAGAGCTGATGCTGATATCAATTTTTATTTTTTCTAATTGCTGTCTAATATAGAGTGAATAAGTTTTAACGATCGCAGCGAAAGAGTCATTCAAAACAAAAAAAGACCTCCGTGACGTACTCTGCTAGAATACTGCAATGTATGATATATAATAAGTACTATTATAAGAATCCCTAATGATACTGCTAGTTTTATTCTTGATCAAGCATTTAGGTACTGTAAGGTTGTAACTAACTATTCGTTGGTGTTCAATCGACATCACTCAAGCCAATTTTAAAGCAAACCAAATAATAGAGAGAGAGATGTGACGATTTATTTTATTACTAAGTAATAATTTCAAATCATATATATAAAGAAAGTAATAAATGATAATTCATAGTCGAATTTCACAATTTCACCATAACTACATTGACAGGAGAGATTATTTGTCATATAATATTGCATGCAATAGAATTTCGAACATGATTCTGTTTAGAAGAAAAATTGAATTACTCATTTTAGAAACTTTTCCTTCATTAAGGATTCAATTGACCGAACTTTGTCTTTCATTTTTTCTTGACTTGAAATTTGAATAGAGATGCAAGCCAATCGATTGAATTACTACTGCTTTAAGACAAAAATAAATACTCGATTTTCGATATTTAAGATTAGACTTCGCTGATAGTCATCTTATGGAAAAAAAAACATCTGCTTTTCATTAACTTTTTGTTCCAAATCAATTAAAACCAAAAGAAATCTGTCGTTCAAGTTGATAATCAAATTTTAATCAGCTAAACAAAAACACGGCTTGACTTCAACCCGTTTTGTTGTGGCTTTTTAAATGTTTGTCATCAATTGATGTCCTACGGGAAAATGTGGTATTTGTATCAAAGGTTGATCTAGTGTTGTGTGTATCATTTGAAATCAGATTTTTTTCCAATCTTTTTTGCATGAGTTGTCTAGTTTTTTGACAGTCAGTTCTCTATTTATTTAATTTTAGTTTTACCAGCATACTCTACAGTCCCATCAAATCGTTATTTAATTTAGAAAAAAAAACTATTAATTGATAGAGCTTCAAATTCTTCAATCATGAGACCTAGGTTATCGTATTAAGGAGAATTTGAAGTTTTTTTCAACGAATAATGTTTTCAAGTCAACTGTTGATAAGCATAATCTAGAGCGTATTTTACTAATACTGATTCCATGTCGAAATCACTCAACATAGGAAAATTTTAAAAGAGAGTGATCGTCAATTTTCAGTCGCTTCTGAGCAATGCATCAGCTAATACTTCGGCAAATGAATCGTTAAAATTTTAACATACTAATACAGTTTCAGGAAGGCGACATCTCGGGCATAGCACGAATTTCTCTATAAAACCATCCAGTAAGTCTTGCAATTTTTCTTGATTATGCACCCCTGTTATGGCATATTGGTCCAAGTTTGCTTCGATGTCCACTGATGTACTTAATTCGAAACCCAAATATTTTACTATATCTAGAAACACATATATTAATATTGAAAAATGAAATCAATGCTTACATATTGGGGAACGACGAAGAGCGCTAGCCACTGCTGATACATTTACCAAAACTGTTTTAGAAGCATTACCGATTCTTGTTAGCTGAAATATAAGACGATAAATATTCGTGGGTAGAAATAGTTAATGTCTCAAAATTGATATTTAACTTTTGTTTTCTTATTCTAAAGTATTCGAAAATCTTGTTGAAACTTTTCCTTGTACTTATTTAATAGAGGAATTATTAATTTTAAGAAACTGTATTTTTCATTTTCTTAGCAAGTTTTTTCATGTTGGTACGAATTTGAAAAGATGAGCAATTACTCATCTAGCCAAAGTCAGAGTTCATTCAAGTTGACAATGTACTTGGTACTATTGCTTTCAAGAAAAGTTCATCGAATCAACGGTTGGTTCTATTATTGGTTGCATTTATAAAAAATAAACATGCTCTGCAAAGTCGATGATACATCAATTCAGAATGGAGAAGTTCATTTTAAACAGAATGGCATAAAAATTCACTGCAATATGTTAATCATTCCGATTTTTCAAGATAAGAAAATAACACTTTTATAAATCCAATCCAAAATATTAAATGTACCAAAAGTTATACAAGTTCAAGTTCTAAATAAATCATATTGAGTATTTTCATTAATCTCATCTGAACAATTGAATAGTAAGAAAAATAAAATAAACTGTATCCTATAGACAAATAAATTCTCTCATGTATGAATTCAAGATTAGATGTAAAAATAAATTGTTAATGTCTTAAAAAACAAAAGACTATCATTAATTATGAAGTAGGGGTTTGGTGTCTTTTTCTTTTCTTTAGTTCAATTACCTTGACGACAAGTCTTGGCATTTTATAACAATAACATGAATCTTTATTTTTATAAGGAATATTAAGCATAGCCATGATTATACGTAATTTTTCGTGAAAATAAAATCCGATATATTATTGTCGAGTGTAACTGTCAAATGTCTTGGGTGATGAGAACCTAAAATAATTAGTATTTTTATCTTCATAAAAAGGAAAAAATTTCTAATCAAATCTTTTGTTTTACGTATTATATAACGATCGACTGTTTGACTCGATAAAAAAAGGTATTATGTATTAGCTGCTACATTGACATGAAGGATAAAATATAGAATGTCCAGGAACTTTTAAAGGTTGTTGTGGAAATTTTGCATTGAATTTGTTATTGGCATAACATTGCAATAGAATATCGTAGAGTTTTTATTCATTTTTTTTGTTAGAAAGATCAAAGCGACTACTGCTATGCAATATGATCGAAAAATTCTTTCCTGACTTTTGTTGAAATTTAGATAGTGCTTCGTTTTATTCTGCTTTTTCTCATTAGAATAGGAGAGTATCCTACTACCAAAAAAAATATTAGATGTGATTTAAAACATCTGATACGCAAGCTATATATACCATAATTTGGTTTCACTAATTTTTTTGTAATATATGATCAAAGTCATAACAAGGAAGCTGATTAAGTCTTGTGCTAAAGAATATTATTGTAAATAGAATATAGTTTCTCTATGAGAAATTCTTCGAGTTAGAAATATCAACTTAGTTCTTGTAATTGAGTTTTTCAATGTCCAGTATACAGATAGATATGGAGCAAAACGAAGATTGTATAGAACATGGAGATATATACTCGTGATAGTGAGTCATCTAATACGCCAATGCAAGATGGCTTACAGTTGGTTATGACTGAGCATGTTTAACTTGAAAACAAAAGAAAATTAAAATTCATGCCCACTCGTTAGTTGTACTGTTTGCTTCAAACGAAATCAATCATTGTGAGTTACTCATTTTATTAATGTTTGTAATAAGCAAAATGTCAAACTTTGGCAAGAAACATATTTCAATATAAAAAGACCTACTTTTAGTTGATAACTTCATAAATAAATTCGACTTCCAACGATCGATATGTTGTCGATGACGTCGAATGCGAACTACGAAAATAAATTCAAATATATGTAATTCAACGTAATGAGCTGAAATAATATAAACTACAAGTAATTTCGGAAGAAAAACAAAATCAAATGTCGATGAAAAGAGAACAGTAGACACATGTGAAACTAATGTGTATGTCGTCATAAGAAGCAGAATTGGGCAAGAATAGAAGTGAGTCTTTGAGCGAAAACTACTCAAATGATGTAAAAAGGATGCAAAAGAAAAAGAATGAAAGAAAGAGATAAAACAATCACATATGTATATGTATACTACAAGTATTTTTAGCCGTACACTAATGTTATGATTTTGCATTGCTTTATTTCTTCTAGAATCCTGAGTCATCCTTCTTTAAAACAGAAAAGGAGCACACTCTACTCCGGTACCAGAATCAATGGTCATGACAATTGGACCATAATAAACACACTGTTTTCTTGTTCAATTGTTGTTATGATCGATCTCATGGAAAAATTCTTCCTATTACTGCATTACTTTTGAATGGAGACGATATTTTGTACTACCAAGATTCAAATGGATTATGACAGTGTGAGTGAGAACGAACCAACACATACATCGGTTGTCTGCTATCACCTATTATCGGACTCATTCATTCATCCACAGTGAGCAAAACAACGAGTGAATCAATGACAAGAAGTTCTACTATTGAAAATGAGTGTCCCGATAATCAATGGACAATTAAAAAAATTTTTTTTGAGCTTAAACCACGTGGTTTTCACTTTCTCATACTCACTATTATTTGGGAAAACAGTTTTGGCAACAATGATAGCAAGACTGATGGTATAATGATTTTCTTTTAATGTCTTGTGCATTTGATGACGATGCATTCGTTTCATTTTTTATTCGTTGATGGTAACTCTCCTTGATATGGATGAACAGAAGACAATGACAATAGCGATGGAGTTTTTTTTCAACACTTAGACGCTACTATTCTTGCAGTTAAGAGCTTCATTGTTTTTCGACACTTTTTTTATCACAAAAGTGATTTTTTTCACGAATAATTTGGTAGTTATTTTTCAATTGATATTCTTTCATGAAAAACCTGTTGTTTTAAACTAGGATTGGTTTTCTTTTTACTCAAATGTTCTGTCAGTCAAACAAGACATAAAATCATCGATAATAAAGTCACATGTCTGATCGGTTATTCGTCCCGTGTCTTTAAAACAAAATAATATTTACTACAATATTTATCCAGTATATCGAGATGCTGATCTCTGTCAAACAAAGTTGAAAAATCATAACTTTTAGTGGCGAATCGGGTATAAA